CAAGGAGTGTGGCCAGCAGGTCGATGGAGGTGATCCTCCCCCTCTACTGACCCTGGTGAGGCCACATCTGGAGTATTGTATCCAGTTCTGTGCTTCTCAGTACAAGAAAGACAAGGAGCTACTGGAGAGGGTCCAGCGTGCTGATAGACGATCAGGGGTTCAGCTCTGAGGCCCCCACACAAGAGGGATATGGACCTGCTAGAGTGAGTCCAGAGGATGCTCCAGATGTCTGCAACATCCCTCTTATGAGGAGAAACTGCAGGAGCTGGGCCTGTTTAGTCTAGAGAAGAGCAGACTGAGAGGGAATATCATTAGTGCAGATCAGTATCTAAAAGGCAGGTGCCAGGACAATGCTGCCAGACTCTTCAGTGGTGCCCAGCAACAGGACAAGGAGCAATGGCCATAAACTGAAACACAAGAAGTTTCACCTCAACATGAGGAAGAACTTTCTTTACACTGAGGGTGCAGAGCACTGGAACAGGCTGCCCAGGGTGATTGTGGAGTCTCCCTCTCTGGAGACATTCAAAACCCACTTGGACATGCTCCTGTGTAAATTGCTCTAGGTGCCTGGCTTGGCAGGGGGGTTGAACTGTATGATCTCCAGAGGTCTCTTCCAACCCTAAGGATAAAGCGATTCTGCGATTGATAAGGAAGTTTAGTGATGAGCACTGGAACAGCATAAACCCAGAACTGTTTTAAGTTTTGAAGCTATGAAATTAGGGGGACAATCCCATCTACTTAGCCCAAAACTTTCAAGAAAGGATTGTGTTGGTTTGCCCTAAATTTTGATTGGCGAGTCTGAGACCCTATGAAAACATGAAGAACTTGCTCTTCAGAAAACAGCTCACCCTCTGCAATAAGGTAATTATAAAAAAATAACTCCAGGTGGACACCTCTTGGTATTCAGCCATTCTGGTAAGCAGTGCTACAGGAATGCAACTGAGAGCTAGTATTTATTTATAGCACTGATTTTTAAAACTAATTCTGAAACACTTCTGCCCTGTATTAGCTACTGTACGTGTTTTTGTAACCTGCAAAGGCACGTGTATGTAAATAACCTGCATAGGAAATTGTGTTCTTTTCTCAAGTGTCCTTTTCTTGGTGTAATTTGTTTCCTTTGCCATTACTCAGAGGACAAGTAGGGAGGAAAAGACTAAATCAGAATTATCACTCTTGCAAAATAACAGGCTGGAAGAGCATTGTCTCAAAAATTTCCATATAGTGACGCAACTTTGTAGCATAAGAAATTGGATGGGAACCATAATAACTTTCAATTGCATGAGCCTTGGTATTTTTAGCGAGAGTGAGAAGGCAAATGAAGAATTCAAGAGAGGTGCAGAGCTCAAAGCATGACCATTTGTGCTGCAACCTCTTAGAACTAAGGGAGAACAATATTCTGCTAATAAGGACAGCAGAAGTTTCTACAGCTCAAACAGATTTCACATGATCCTCAGAGGTACAGTGACAGTTTTAAACTCCCACCAAAGGCATTTGTGCCTATGGCTAAGCCAGGGACTGCATGGGACAGCAGCCAACACAAAGCTGGGAAGTTGCCTCTGAGAACTGCAAATGCTAATACATAATGGCGAGTGGGTGCATTAGGACACTGATCAGCCCATTTTAGAGCCCCAAGCCAGACACAAAGTTTTGACATGGTGGAGCCCCAAAACACCATAGGTGTTACTGCTCATGCTGCATCAGCTTTTGGAGACCACAACTGGTTCAAGATGGGCACAGTCCAGAAAAAGAAGGACCAGTTGTCATGCCACTAAACATCTCTGGTCCTTATAGAGATGAAGGAATGGCACTTTCTACTTGAGTTTAGGTCGGAATGTTTTAAGTACCTGTGAGGCTAAGGAAAAAGTAGCAGCAGTCTAAACTTCTCTTCCCTTTGCTTTAGTCACTGGTTGTCTAAATCCAGGTGAAGAGGGAATAACCTGAGAGTTTCTGCAGATTTAGTGTCGGTTTCCAAGCTTACTCTAAAATCTAAGGTGCCTTCTGGACCAAGAATATTTTTTTTTTGTATAATCACCCCTTCCTCCCCATATCATGAAGACACTCTTGAAAAGCCAGTTTATCAGATGCACTGCCTTCCCCAGAAAACTTAGCAGTTTATTTTGAAAACAGCAGGTATGTGTTCTAACCCCAGGCTAGCTTTCCACAGGATGAAAACATCTCCTATGAGCCTATAACTAAAACTGACTATTTAACAGAAAGTGTTATTGGCAACTGCTGCAGACACCGTACTAGGTATGATGGATCACTGTCCACACCTGCATGATTACTTCTCATGGCTCTTAGTCCCACAAATATATCACTAAGCTAAAAACGATGGATTTACAATGACTTTCAAAGTATTCATTAAATATGATTCCACTGTTGTGTTTCCTTGTCCTACAGCTGTGCCAGTCACAAGTATGAAAACAGGAACTGTCAGAGGACAGGTAGGGCCTGTACTTTCTTTTCTGCAGAGATGTGCAGACACAGCTGATTTCACAGTTCATCTTGAAAACACTTCAGAATTGTTTATTCTTGTCCCTCTAGCCTGGGATCTTATCTTTGCTAGTGCCTGGCACAGGATGCTCAAGGAAGAGTACGAGACTCTTTCCACAGTTTCTTCTCAAGAGAATTTGTTACTTTGCTTCCCTAGGATGCTCTGCAAGAGGCAATGTAAAAATGGCCATATTGAGCCCAATCAGAAGGTGCTGCTCTTGACACACACCAGTAGCACTCACAGACACATGTGAACTGATGGGCAAGCATATTGCATGTCACCTGTCAGTCATAAGGATCCACCAAGTATAAGATCTGTTATTTCTGTATCCAAATTGTCTGTGACTATTTTTCATCTTAAGGTTTAGTATCCAGAGTTATAGAGGAACTCTGCAGTTTTGCAATGAAGTCTGTAAAGCACTTTCTTCCTTTTTGGATGTCTTGTTCTTTGTATAGAAGAGGCAGTGAGCAACTTCCAAATTCATCTGTAAGTTAAGTGTCTGGAAGATGCAGGATCTCTAACTCACGAGGAGCTTGGGAGACAAGATTACCACCCCACCCCCAACATTATATATATATAGCTGTGAACATGATCTCTGTCATGGCTGTAACAATTGCCAAGTTGGAAAGGGGAACTGTACATCTGCTCTTTACTACAAAAGCATGAGGTAATGTGAACATTCAGTGAAAATGATTTGATGCCCTACGTGAACCCACAGAGGCAAAAGAGAGATTACTGAAGAATTTTAGGTAGACCTCTACATATTCATGGATCATGCTCATGCCTGCTAAGGTAGAACAATTCCAATGTAGATTATTCTCTTTAAGTAGGTCACCACAACATTTTTTTCTCAAAAAGGTTAAAACAAGCTTTATTTCAACATACAAATCAGATTTGTGTACAAGGCAAAACCTACCCATATGGTGGTAGGCATAATGGGTCTCCACATGGCATGTGTAGCTACCTGCACTACAGCAATCCTGGAATATGGAAAAAAGCCCTAAAAATCTTTTTAAAAAGGCAGAAATATCTCATTTTAATCACTCTTGCTATACTCGCCTCCATCTGGGGATTAAGTAAAACATTATACAGTTCTGAGTCAAGAAAACAAATTATCTACAAGCCAAATACCCAAGATACATGTCTGATTCCCTGCTGTTATCTGGGTACACTCACAAGAGCACTTGGGGAACAAATCAAGAGAAGCATGTATGCGAGGTTTACTTCATTAGCACTGCAAAGTGTGTAGAAGAACGGTAAGATATTTCTGCTACCTTCAACTACAATTGTTTTCATGAATTGTGTGGTCAATGTGTCAAGCTTACACATCCTATAATCTTATAAAAAAGTTCTCTACATTGTGTGTTAAGTTACTAAAAGTTTTTTTACATATTTTGCTTCCTTTCACTATGAAGTCAGATGTGATACAGAAATATTTTAAAAGCTTATAAAAGCAGGAGAACCGCAAACATTTCAAGTCCTGTCCCTAATATTAAAGGATACTTGAACACTCTCATTTTGCTACAAGATTGTATTTGTCATTAAATGACATGAAAAAAAGGAACAGTCTCTTTTTTAGAGAAAGTTAAAAATAGAGGAAAGGTATACACAGGGTTTGGTTTTTTTAAGTTTTACAACATATAAAAATAAGTTACACTATATGTTATGGCTTTCTGATTTAGTACAAGAGTGCCATCATGGACTTAAGCACTAGATGTTGTAACTAGTTAACTCACCATGTTCTCAGACTTTCCTGGTTCTGAGTTTTGATTGTGTGAAAAGAAAACAAAATATTGTGAAAATTCAGAAGCCTCCAGAACAATTCTAGTAGCAAGAAGCACTTGTAGGAGTCACTCAGACAAGTTTTTAATATAAAATTAAACTTAATGTTAAATTTTTAAAATTAATTTAAAATTGAAGTTTTAATTTAATCTCTTGGCACAAAAAAAGGCCAAGCAAAACCTCCCATGAACTTCGGCAAATTCAGAACTTCATACTCGGCTTCATTTCAGAACTGTTTACACACAAGTATGATACCATTACGCTACTGAAGTAATGACTTCTTAAGGTTTGTTATGTTAATCATACAACTGAAATACTGGTTAGATTTGGTATGCAGCTATCACAAAAAGGCTACAATTATGCTAAACAGACAAGAGGCAAAACTGCAATACAACTGCTCAATATTGTGTTGTCCACTATGAATTAAAAGCGAGCAGGAGAGGGCCCAAAAGATGCTCAAGTCAGAAATAGAAAGACTGCATCTACACAATGGTATATTATTAATGTCCGAGTATACTTACATGTGGAAGTCTAAAGCTGCAGACAGACTGGACAAGCTATGACAAAAATAAATAAAAAGAATTCTAGTTTCATTGCTAAAGCTGTAACAAAAATCTCAGTGTGTAGCGAAAGCCATATTTGCAACAATAAAGTTTACAGCAGACATGCACAAATTTCAGTCATACGAATATAATCAGAAAGATCATAGCACTGAATCTGGGAATATTTTCATGCTTTAGTTTAACTCAGGATAAAAGTTGCCAGTTGCATAAAGTTAACCAAATACTGTACTTTCCAGCTCCTTACAAACAAGGCTCCGTATCACCCAGAAGATGAGCTTTCTCTCCCCTTTTTCTCCAAGAAAAGTATCTGAAAGGCAAGCTACAGTGATTGTTTCTGACAACAGTAAAATAAAGAAGCAGCTAGAAAAGTAGGTATAGCCAAAAATTCTTACAGAAAAGGCATCTGTCCTGGTTTGATTTTGTTTGTAAAAAGGCACTTCACATATTGCTAGAACTCCGATAATGTACTTATCCTTTTAGTTTTTCTGTTAGAAGGCTGTATTTCAAGGTGGTTAGCATGAGTATGCAAACATTCTTTTTACAGTGTTTATCAATTACAATTTTATAATTACATGTAGCATCTTGCACCATTTATTTAGAAAGAAAGACTCATGTTCAAAATAATAGCAGGTCTTCATACAATACTTCAGTGATGATGGATGATCTGTCATAAGCAACACACCACCTGTAGTGAGTTCATGCTAATAAAATTATCAGTGTAAATCTTTCAGAAATGAGTCCTCAGTCTTCTGTTTTCCTCTCGTAGTCTCTCAATTTCAGCTACTAAGCTTTCATTTACAGAATATCTTTCAAGTAAAGCATGCATTTCATTCTAGAGAAAAGAAAAAAGTCCCAATCAGTAGCTATAGTTAATTATTCCAATTTTACCCTATCCGTTTTCATATCCCTTTTGAAAATTAAATAACATAGATAACACTGTTCTTTAAAAATTTTGGTAAGAAAAGTAAGATTTTTTTTTTTATACTGACATACAGTATTTTGATCATTTATATATTAGTGAATAATTTATCAAAGGATATTTTGCACTTCTTCTGGATGAGAATCTACTAATAGAGATTCCATTAAAATGTTCAGTACCCAGACAAGGTCTTTGTAATGCAGATCAAAAGAACAAAGATTCATAAAAAGGTGAAGCTAAAGAACATAGTTCAGTATGCAATGCAGTACCTATAAGTAAGCTTTCTATTTGAATTCCATCCCTCTTCCTTACTCCAGCCCTTAGTCCTGTCAAAATGACAGCTGAATTTGTCTCCCTTTTGTCTTTTTATAACTCCTGAAATATGGAATTCATAGTAACTACCCAATGCATATGCTCCCTTTATTTATCCAGCATAAAACAGTTTAACAGATTCCAGTTTACAGTTTCTCCCTCCTTCACATCCAATCCTCCCTTTCTTGTTTGTAATAAGCAAAACTGATTTTCAATTTTGAGAAGCTGGCATGCCTTGGTATTACTAAAAGGAAAAGTGAATGTATTTCCCATCATGCTGTTTATACATACCAACTGCACATGGAATTGCTTGATCATCTCCACTTGCAAATTCACAATATCTCTATGGCATGCTTCTCTGGGGGAAGAATTGCAAAAGGTCAACACAGGATTTTTACTATATTATTTCAAGATATTTTAAAGTATTCAATGTATTTTCTGTCTGTTGGCAGACACAGAACAGCTATAGCACACAGACCTACTAAGCTAATTTTGCATTGCTTTTTGTCATCAGCAGTCCTTTTTCCCTCCGCCATCTCAGTCAACATACTTCACCTTAAAACATGTGTTAGCCAATGATGCCCTAGATACAGCTCCCTCAACAGCTCTACCTGCTTCAAACTCCACTCTAAATCCATGCTAACTTGACTTCTTTCATGACAAGTGGAATGTTAGGTATCTACAAACACCAAGTAATCTGACACCATCACTTACCACACAGACATTGTTAAACGTAAAACTTCACCAGTAAAAAATACACACGGTATTTTACTTTATACATGCCAAGCTAACAACAGTCATAGCCAGTACAAGTCAACTGCCTAGATCAAACTCTTCACAGTGTCAAATTTAAGAGAAATTTCTCCTGCTGGGACCAGGTATGAGTGGGGAGGGAAAGAAATCAGCACAAGGTTTCATAAAGGCAGTAAGGACCTTGTTATGCAGATAAATTTACCACCCAAAAATTATTCAGATACTCATTCTGAAAACATGTTAGCAAAGCCATGCATTAACTGCCTTCAGAGACAGCAGTTTAATCAGTCAACAAAGCTAGATTTCTGAGATTAGGGCTCCTAATGGTTTCATTTTCTAATAAAAGTAGAAATTTCTTAAAGCAGACGCTCAAATATCTTACAAAGAAAGCATGCCACTGAAAACAAAAATATCCTGCATGAATACCAGTACCTGAGGTCATCCATTGTTTCTTGGATCATATTCTGAATGAAGTTTATTTGGAATGATGTCAGAGGTGCATTTGGTCTGCTACTCCCAATATTTTCTACTATTTTTTCTGACAATGAACTTGCAATTCCAGCAGCAACTGGTGATGTTATCTTTGGACCTTTACAATTAAACATAAATAAATAATGTTTAAAACAAACAAACAAAAATCAGTGTAATGAAGTACAAGAATTTTTATTTGTCTTGAGGCTTGTCAGTATTTTATCTAAAATATTACTTAATAAAAAAAATAGGTTTAGACTGAGTCTTTTCAGAGCCAACTACAGATATTCTAGGAGGTCTAACTGGATTTAAAGAAGCAGCAATATCGGATGTTCTGTTTTCACGCTAAGGCCATTTTATCAGGTTTCATATGAGTTTACAATCAAAATGATCCACTTACTTGTTGAGGTAGTACCATTTACTGGTAGATCGTATGCAGGATGGGCCTGAGTATTCTTCGCTAGTCTCTCATTTGTCTCAGGAGCCTTTACAGCAGTGAATGATGGTGGGGGACTTAAAGTTACAGATTCTGCACTTGATGAACTCGATTGTGAAAGCTGACCCTAAAAATAAAAGCAACAATAAAAAATACTAACTCTACTTCTTATAATTACCTAATTGCGCTTGAAGACTTCGTTTTCAGAAATGCACTTGCAAATGTTTTTAAGAACTTACTCACAAATACATGCTTTTCGTTTTCTAGCAAGACATCTTACAAATGGATCGCTAAAATATTCAAAATTGCCTCAAGTGCACACAGACAGAAAGAGCACAAAAGGCAGGGGCCTCTTAATTTTCATATCAAACATTCTGTGGAGATACTATAAGCATCATTCCTAGCCAACTCAAGACTTCTCAAAAGTGATACAAAAGAAGGCAGGGTCTCTGCAGAAGCATATCAAAGATATCTTAGATGCAGATAGGGAAAAAAGAGGGTGGAATTGACCTAATAAACAACAATCGTACTAGTCAGCAACCAACTAGTGGTCATTCTTGATCTACAAGACCTTCTTGGTCTATAAGAAATCTAGAGGGGGACTTCTTACAAGGAGAAATGGCTTTAAATTGGAAGAAGTTAGATTTAGATTAGATATAAGGAAAAAAATTCTTCACTATGAGGGTGGTGGGACACTGGCACAGGTTGCCCAGAGAAGTTGCGCGTGCCCCATCCCTGGCAGTGTTCAAGGCCAGGTTGGATGGGGCTTTGAGCAAACTGCTCTAGTAGAAGGTGTCCCTGCCTGCGGCAGGGGGTTAGAACTAGATGAGCTTTAAGGCCCCTGCCAACCAAATCATTCTATGATTCTATGATTTTCTAGAAAAATAAAAATATTCTTCAGGCTAGCCCAGTTTTGTTTCATATAAATTCTTGTAACCTGAGCTTATTTAAGAGAAGCATACATTTATCTTCCACCGCTGAAGGCCAACACACTCAGACTGCACAACATTTTACAGATCTGTCACTAGTGTGAACAGTCACAAAACAAGATTAGATGGGACACTATTACAGAATTTTCCTTCAAGTCATAGTATTCTGTGAAGTTTCTAAAAAGATCACATATAGGCATTAAAATAGCATACCTGCTTTAAGAGTTCTGTAGATTCTTGTTTTCCAAGACTTATTTTCTTTGTGTCTGCCTCTGGATGTTCTTCTTCTTTAATTGGAGACCCTACAAGTGCATGTAATGGGCTGGACCGTATTCCTTGTGCACTACTGCCCACAGGGTTTCTTTTTGCCGGAAAGGCAGTGGTGAGATGTGGGAGAAAATCCACACCCAAAATGTAGGACTGAAACTCCACACCTAAGATGAAGAGAGAATGGTGAAACACACAGGTGCAAAAAGAAACAACCACACAGCTAAATCAATCCCACAATTAAAACACCTGCACACCCACAAAAAAAACAATAAAATCACCCAAAATGCACCCACAGAAACTAAATCCTTAAATCCAACTTATCCTGTCACTATCTGTATGAAAGGAATAAACCAAGTGAAGCCTCTATATATCACTATAAATTGCATAAAGGAAAACCAGAATCACTTTAGGATAGTACTCTTAATTTCCTGTTAACAAGCTGTGTCTTAGCACTTCACTGTGTTAGCCAGTTTACAGAAAAGTTCAGTTTTTTCAGTGTCCGCTTTCATTGTTTGCTTATTTTCAATGGTGGAACAAAATTAGCATGTAATAATTAGCATAGGCCTTCAAAGGCCTATCACTATCAAAGAAAAATGTACTGAAAGTGTATTTACCATCTCCTTTTCCTTGAGGATCTTCATTCACTTTGTTTGCAATAATATCTACAAAATATCAGAACACAAGACAAATTATTTATTAAACAAAGCCTACACCAATATTCACATCATTGCATTGAGTTCATAATCAAAAGACAAATTCAAATACCAAATAGGTACAGTGGCCGGTAACACGCAACGTCAAGATGTCATGATATATGTAGATGAATGATGCTTCACAAATTTCAGTATTAACAACTCACCATCTCTGACTGGAGAAAACACATCTCCTAAACTGCTTCGACTGACATTAATATTATCAGCACTTTTCCCATGATCTGTTTCTTTAGATGGAATCACATCCAAGCTGCAACTATGGGGAAAGCCTTAAAAAGACAGTAACAGTCAGTTAGTAATTGATAACAAGTTATCCCTAAACAATCTCACAGCAATCACAATGCCTGCTAAGTGCAAAATGCACATTAGATCCTTCTACAGATTCCAGTTAGAGGGTCAACTTTAACTTCCTCATTTGGGCTGGCAACAAAGATGAACATAACTAAAAGTTACAATACTTATTAACAGAAATAAGATAGTCACATTCCTGTCCTCTTTAAGAGGGAGAGTTGCCAAACTGAATAATACATTCATTTTCAGATAAATCTACATAATGGATGCAGCAAATTTATGGACTATCAGGTGAAATGAAAACTGGCAAATGCACCTTCTGCTAAGAAGGTAACCACAATCAAATGACCAAAATTTAAATTTATTCTACAAGAAATTTGCTTCACTGGGGCCGTTAAGCATACTAAAGGGTATTCTATGAAACATCTATTTTAAAGTTTACCTGATGTTCTGATAGTCTCTGCTTGTACCTAATACTAGCAAATTGGAGTGAGGTTACAGTTGTAGACAAAAGAAACCTGTTCCTAGACCTTTCCTCATCCACCCTCAAGCCCCATTCCTGATTCAATCAGGAAAGGAATAAAAAATTAGCTTTTCTATGCATGATAGAAGGGACAGTCATCGGAAGAATGGAAGCATATCTGAGGTCCAAAAATAAGCTCAATAATTATTCAAACTACAGTTTTTACATGAGGAATACATGGAGAAGTGAACTGAACCGCTAAGATAACCATCTAAATAACTTTTGCAGTTTAGTATGTTTGAAAGACAGATCAGGACAATAAGCAAGCAGCTATGCTGTCATCACCAAACTGCTAAATCAAAAAAGTGCCTAGATTTTGCTTGTATAAGATAAGAACTGGTCAAAGAGCATTTGTGCTATGCAAGACATAAATAAATGTCCTGTAAATAAATCACCTGTACATACAAAAGCTTTATTTTGTGCCTACTTTAATATAATAAATTAACAAACCATTGTTCATAAAACCTTTCTATATACATAGAGAAGTAGTATAGATGTATGTATACTTCCTCTCCATACTACTTTTTCAAGTGATCAAAATGTGACTTTGTGGATGACTACAATTAAGCATGTCCAAGTATTCACATAAACTGGAACCTGAGTCAGGTTTAAGGTTTCATTTTTAAATGCATTAATATGTCACATTTTCCACACCTTCACATACGTCAGTTGTGACGTAGGACTGCACTTGCTAGTGCAAGTTAAACAGGAAGTTAAACTAGAAGTGTAGTTATCAACCTGTGCCAACATCTACAGAGGATCTACACGGAAAAAGCATAACATAAAATAGGGCAAAATGTCTTTTGTATATTTTTACCGAGTAAATCTAGACGTAGTAAGCGCCTAAACCAGAGGACAGCTGTTAAATAGAAGTTTTATGGGAAGCCAACTCAAAGTACATCCAAACTTCTCATCACATTCTGACTTCATTTATACTTTTGTACTTATAAATAGTCTGGGTCTTTTTACCACAAATATTTTACAGCTGTCTGAAGAGTTGTTTTTTTGTTTTAAAAATGTTGTCAAATTGCTTAACCAAATGCCCCTTATTTCTCCAAAGTTAGAGCCCATAATCAGGGTCCAGAAGAGCTTCCACAGAACAAATACAGTTTGTGATCCCTCATCCATTACCATTTTTAAGTATAAAGTCTCCATTTCTGAAGTATATAGAGGTCTTTACTTCTAGTGAACACTCGGTTCAATGAAAAATATCTGCTTTACTTGGTGAGCCTTTATTTTCTTAAAATATTTATATATTACGCATGGTCCTGATAAGGGGTAACAGCTATTACATCTTCAAAGAAAGATAAGAAAACATATATTTTAACAGAAATCAAATTTTACACACCGTTCAGTAATGTTGATTAGTAACACTCCTTGTATACATAGGAAGCATTCTACTCCACTTCGTACTTCACTGCATACCCAAGGGAAGTCATTAATACAAGTCCCTACGGACTGCAGTGGCTTATTGCCTAGTTACTGTTGCTAAATGTATTTCCCTTAAAGAGGAGGGGAAAAGTGTTGTTGCATTAAAATGGTTTGAAGACTTTCTTTTTCCAATAATCAAACTAACAGTGTAATGATATGACCAGAATTGAATTCAGAACTCCTGAACTCAATAAAATTTTAAGAATACATTTCACACAGTGGCAGAAATTTTGAATAATGCTCAGAATTCTTGTAAAGAACTTGTTAATTTCAGAAGCATAAATAGCAAGTACGGTTATACAACTAATCATACTTGCAGCTATATTTAACATCTTTCCTACCATGTGATATTGGAGTCATGCCTCACACAAAAATACAGTTCAGTTCTCACTTGGATTTTTAGACTAGGTTTCTTTTTCCCTGTGCTTTGTTTGGTTGACTTTTTTAGATAAGGCCTGTTACTCCTGCTTATTAATAGAATTACAATTCATTAGCTCTGCATTCCATACAAAAAAAAAAGGACATCAAAAAATACATCATGTATGCATTCTGACTTCCTGTAGATTTTGTTTACAAAAGAGCCCCACAATATTACCATAGTTTTCTCCTTCAAGTCCAGAATTCTAGACTTCACATGTCTAAAGCTTGAAGTAGCTCCCAATTCACTTCCCACAGTCTCCTAGTGTGTCTAACCCAGCAGGAGAGAAAAAAGGAGCAGATGCACATGCAGTTCCTTCAAACAAATGCCCTTCCCACAATGAAATTTGTATACTGTAATGGTCAAGGTACAAAATACTCCTTCCACCTTCTACATTATGCCCAATATTATTGTAAGAGCAGGAAGAGGACACTACCTGTTTTCTCCTGAAGAACCTCTCCTCCCTTATTCTCTTTTGGCAGTGTCACAGATGAAACTGTTGCTGACGCCTGAGAGGCAACGTTTTTTATGCCAGTACTTTGAACTCCTCCAAGATTAGTACCAGCTTTGACTTCTACTTTTTTGGATACAGGTTTATTTGAAGAACTCATAAGGTTAGACTGAAAAAAAAAAAAAAAGAATAAAGTTATTATTCCTTCACCTAAAAGTAAAAATATAAGCGAGTATTTCTCCTTCAAAATACTAAAAAAAAAAAAAAAAAACAAACCCAACCCTCAGTTCAAGTTGCAAAGGTTGCCTAGGAGATATGCCTTTACAAATATTTTAAAAAGTATCTTAACGTTATTTCAAAGAACATGGGAAACATCTGTATTATTACTTGAATACTATGTGGAACTGCAAAAGAATAGCAACAGAACTTAAGGTATCAACAATGCAGTGTCCTGGCATGAGCCAATTTTGATCCTAGGTTTAGGGATAAGAGGTAAAAAAAAAACAAAAAAAAACCAACAACAAAAAAACAGATTACATTATTAAGGGCTCTACATTGCAAAGGAACAGTGTTGTGGTTTAAGCCCAGCTGGCAACTCAAAACCATGCAGCTACTTGCTCACCCCCCCCATCCTTCTCCTCACACTGCTCCCAACAGGATGGGAAGGAGAATTGAAAGAATGTAAATCTCATGGGCTGATACCAGTAACTAAGGTATAATACAAAACTACTACTACCACCAGCAATAATAATAAGGGAAATAACAATGGGGAAGAATATAAAACTTAAGAGGGGAAAAATAATAATAAAAAAACACAACCCAATAAACAAGTTATGCACAACACAATTGCTCACCACCCACCAACCAATACCCAGCCCTACTTGAGCAGCAATCTGGGCCTTCTGGGTAACTCCCCCCAGTTTCTATACTGGGCATGACGTGCTATGGCATGGAATAACCCTTTGGCTAGTTTGGATCTCTCTGCTTCCTCCCAGCTACCTGTGCCCCTCCTTGCTGGCAGAGCATGAGACTGGAAAGTCCTTGATTAGGGTAAGCATTACTGAGCAACAACTGAAAACATCTGTGTGTTATCAGCACTGTTCGCAAACTGAAGTCAAAAACACAACACTGCACCAGCTAATAAGAAGAAAACTAACTGTTATGGCTGAACCCAGGACAAACAGTCAACCACTAGCAGTAACTGTCCTAGAAATAAAGAACCCCCTTCAAAGGTTCTCCCTGTCTCCACTGCATGGGCAGTGGGATTTCTGGCTACAGTAGAGCCTAATTAAGTCTTGGAAGAACCTCTTAAGCCTTCTCTATTATTTAATCAACTTTACTATGTATTTACACCTGCAAAAGACCATGCAAAATACCTGAAGACAGGGAGCTGCGTGTCTTCCTCTTAAGTGGAAGGGCCACCATAGACCTTTCTACTACTGCCCACGAATGAGTCTAAGGTGCCACAAACCAATCTGCAATGGCAGCATATTCACACCAGCAAATTCAAGACTAAAGTTTCACTCAGTGAAAACAGAGTGGGGTGGGGGGGAATTCCAAATTAAAAAAAAACTTAAAATGGCACTGAAGACCAAGCAGTTTACAATTTCTGCCTTGGTGTGAACCACTTTTGTTGGCATCATTAATGCTTACAAATGGAATGCTAACATTTTCTTTTAGAATTTAAACTTATGCTTAACATTCATCAATCTACGTATTGACTGATAAAAAGGAAAGTTTTTTTACCTTGGAAAAAGTGCTACTGAACTGAAGACGTATGCATTTCACACAGCCTTTGTGAGCAACAACTGTTTTCACTGGTAATGTCAGTTGTCTTAAGTCATACTGGCAGATTTTTCCCCGGGAACATCCTATAGCCAAAGTAGTACCATCAGGCATGAAGTCTACTGTTGTCAGAGGAAAATCAGCTACTATTGTTGTCAGTAACCTTCAAATAGGAGAAAGGACAGGATAAAGAAGCTTTTAGAGTTCAGAAGTTAGACCTCAAAACAGAGTATCTAAAAATATAACTTCATAATTCAGCTACGGGTCCGTAGTTCCACTTCTCTAGTGCCAAGTAAATTCAGGGAAATACCTTACGGAACAGTGGATTAGGCTTATACTACACATTCCTGCTTAACAAATCAAAGACTGCGTGTACCCCCCCCCAAATTCCACCAGGACAGGATCAAACTGCCTTCATAACAGCAGCTGACACCAACATGATTGACTGTCATAATTTTAAGTAGCAATCATACATTGTACATCCTTTAGCTTCCCAAGCCTGTATTCTCTAACCTTCTCGCAACTCTAGGAACAACTTCAGGTTCTAGTTTGCCTAGAAGCCAGACTCCTGCTTTTATTCAGCCGGAGTGAAAGCACAGCTCACACCAGAACCATGAAGCCCTTTGTCCTACCCTCTTATTACACAGTCCCATCACCTATGCCCCATGTTTCCTTCTTTTCAAACCAATACTCTACCATATTTAAGGGAATAATTATTCACTGTGAGAGTGGTGAGACACTGGAAGAGGTTCTATGACTTCATAATATTTAAGGATTGCTATCTCAGCAGCTCTGTGTACCACAGTTGTGTCTTCTATTATGAAGCAGAAAAGCAGACAAACTAAGCTCAAGGGCATGAAGGGGCACGAAGGTCCTCACAAGCTGTACTGCCCCTTAGAGAAGCTAATTGTTCTGCATCAACAAGAAAAGCCGCCACACAAGCACTGCAGAGCAGTCACTTGTATGTAGCACCTCAATTAGTTGCCACATGCCTTGGGATTTTTTTAGTTGTTTATTTGGGGGGGGTGTCTGTTTGGTTTTTAAATAAAAAAGCAAAATGGACTATGGGACAGGTTCTCCAGTAGCAGTATGCCAACCACTTCAACCATTCTGAATATGGTCTGAATTAAATGTTTCATTTCATAGTTTGGCATGCCTTTTCATTTCACAAGAAATAAATAAGGATCCTTCCAAAATCAAAAGGTCTTTAAAATACTCACTTTTTACTTGAGGTGTCATAGAGAATAATTCTTTTATCCAAACCTACAGTTACAAGCAGCAGCTTATTAACTGGAGAAAAGCAGATTTCTGAAGCTGGTGCTTTATGAGCATTTTCAAAATTATGATATGGGTTCTGGCTATTTACATCCCATAGAGTTACATTTCCACTGTCAGAAACACTGCCCAGCAAGGATTTCTTAAAGGATGAATATTTCAAGTGTCGAACAGGCTGTAAAATAGACATAAAAAATGAAGTGCAATAACTATCAACACCATACTAGATTATTTTCTAAACACACAAACACATTAGAAATACAGATGCTACACTAAGTTAAAGTAGTCTAGAATGGCTGGCCACGCTGAAAAATAAAATGTGTTTTTAAAAGAAAAAAAATCATTTTTCATTACTATGCCACTTTTGCTATTAGAGGGGCAGATATTTTTTTTCCCATGTACCAGTATGGGGTACCATATGAGCTGATCAGTAAAACGAATGACAAGGTTAAAAAAAAAACCAAAACCACAAACTTCTAGAAAAGTTTCTTGATTTTTCATCAAGTATCATGCCATCACACACACTACAAAATAACCCACACCACATCTAAAATCAGTGCAGTGTAAAGCTACATTATTTTACTGATTAGTCGCCTGTAAAGAACGTTAAACTTAATTCCCTTCCACTGATTTTAAGTATTTGATGTAAGCCAATTAGGTAAGACAGACTCCAGAGTTACGCATGTAGATCCTGCAGAAGAACAGACTTTTGCATGTTTTATCAATGCAGCCTTGCTATCCCAGAACCATGTAATTCAGGACCTTAACTTGCCTTTCAGAAGCAGGCAAGCATTTTGTTTACACCATATAGGTTCAGAGGATATTTCAGAAACTCACTGCTCTAATACTAACTTACAATACTTAATTTCCAGATTAATTTATGATCCATTTGCACCAATTCACTCCTGTGCCAATAATGCCCTTACACTTAAATTGCTTCCAAACTCCCCAGTGCTGCTTTTTCCTGTTTTAATAAACATCGATACCTCACCTTCTTTCAGGCTTTATTCCACTATATGCAATATGCAAGATACAGCCTCCAAAGACTTTTTCAGTACCATCAGTCTCTTTGCAGCTCTCATAGTTTGTATCTTTCTTGCATATGGACAACCCAAATCTTGTACGATCCTCAAAACATTTTGCTATTGCCTTAGCAAAGGCAGTAACACTTCCTCCATTTTGTACTGTAAATACCTATCCCAACATATCCTAGATTGCATTTTCTTTGTTGTGATTCAGTCTGTTCTGGCTGCTCACTGCCATTTTATGATCAAGCAGCCCGAGCCCTTCTTTCTCTTGGGACTTTTCAAATCCTAGTCTAATAAGAAAGGCCTCAGTGGGGATGTCTCAATTTTTATCCTGGGATATTTGTTCCCATGTATATTATTTCAATCCTTTATGGGCACTGCCACTATCCTCTCTTACGGACAATATCTTCCAACTGTGTCTCATCAGAGCTCTACTTCTCTGTCATAGCCATTGCTGAAAACATTAAACAAGATTAGCTGCTGCAACCTAACAAATATTTTCTTTCAATATTACATACTGTCTTCTTTCCTACAGCCTATTTCTTACCCCTTCTCGATCGTTTTCTAACCTACATCCTCTTCTTCTCACAAGGCACTGAAATAAGGCTCTACTCAAGTCCAGCTGGATGAGAGATGTTACATTTTATTTGTCTGAAAATGCTCTCAGAAAGCTATTATATTATTTCAGTATAGACCATACCACAATGAATTGTACTGGATTTTATCCTATTTCTCTCTTTAACTTCATTTTAATGGAGATGTGTTGGCTCACATGCCTCCAAACTAGCACTTGTATTGCATGTCTCACTGGAAGCCTATTTGCTCCACAAAGCAGCACCCTCAACTGCATATTCAAGTAAGACAGAAGATGACTATTTATAATCAATATGGTCCTCCACTGGACATGGAGACATTTTTATTAGCATTTTCAGTTTGTTTACATTAAAAAAGGAAAGACTGAGTGACTCGGGAATAACATCTTCAATTATATACATGATTTACATGACAAACATGCCTGTCCCTCACAGTTCTCTAAATTCTTCAGCTCCAAATACCTTCCTTACTGCCTCTGGCATTTGCTCATGTTCCATTTTCTCACTCCTCCATCCTCCTGCCCACCAAGATTACTTTCTCCAGCTTTCCTCAAGCCTCCCTTACTATCCTGCCAAGTCTCCCATTTCCTTTTCTCATTTTCCCTTTTAATCTCACAGGCCCAAGGCAAGTTCTCCATTCTCTTTCATATACATTCTTCTCCATATTACCTCTGTTCCCCACTTTCCATTGAAGTCATGGTGTTTCCTCAGAACAGCTTAAAAGTTTAATTTCAGGTTGCCGATGAAGGAGATGTGAGGAAGCTCCTATTTACTCCTCACTTTCACTGAATTAGGTTAGCAACAAACTTCACTCGCAACAATGCAATTTCTAGATCAGACTCATGGAACAGAGGTGCTTAAATTTGAATACACTTCTACAAGACAGTCAAATGCATCCCTGACTATGCTACATGTCGAAGTTTCAAACTCCTGCCCTGACAGCTGAAAGGCGGCATGAAAAAAACCTCATCTCTGAAAGGCTGCTTGACAAGATAAAGCCAAAACATTTCATCTCCCAAAAGCAAGTCAATTAATTTGAAGTTTTATCTTTAAGCTTCACAATAAAACAGCCAAATGAGGAACAGTGCACTTCAGAAAAGAGTTGGCCCATTGCTGAGAAGAACTTTTTCACCACTGGGAAACAAGCAAAAAGCCCAAAGCTAAACCAAGTGGTCTAGCATCATTAATTACCTTATTTAAAGACAGGATAGTTTCTTAATCTCCTTTATACCTTACTGAGCCTTGTAAGTGAGAAAGCAGAGGTAAATACAGTTGATAGTCTTCAGCTTTTAAAACTATTTTCACTGCATGGAGTGACCAAAACTCATCACACTTCTTTACAAATTAGCCAGCTGTTCAAACAACTGAACTAAATCCTGTTGCTAGGAGAATACCACCAGGCAGTGAAGACTTGAGCAAACATGTTTTGAAACAAACCTTAATTCATCCTCACAACAGCAAGCAGATAAGAATCTGGTAGTCTAAATAAATACCAACAGCAAAGACAAATTACAGGATTTGCAAACAACTCCGTGCAAGAACTCAACTCTAATAAAGCACAAAGGTGTTTCTAAATCAAAATCAGTTAAGAGAATATAGGCCAATGCTCATATGAAAAGAAAATTGGTTAAAGTCACAGAAAGCACTGCAACCTTGGGCTATTCTACTGCTTTTAGAGTCTATCCAATATCAGAAATTAACTGGCAAGGAAACTACATTCCATCATGGTAACACAAACACAAGACAAGCTAAATTTTGTAAGGTCAGTTTGACCCCACATTCCCCAATTGTAAATAAAAGTTACTAGGGAGAGGTGAACCCTACTAAGCCAGACAGCTAGTGCCAGGATCAAACAGGACAATACACTGGGTATCTATTCAAGATTACTCTTAGAAAATTGGGCCCCTGAACTATAAATCAAGTAAAGGCTTTTTAAATCTAACAGAATTACACTAGTCTTAGATATTTGCTTCAGTGCACAATTAACCCTGAAATTCTTTACAAGTACCAATTAAACCCCCAAACAAAAAATAAAGCTATTTTTGCACATAAGAAGAAAGATAATTTTTAGGATGTAAAATAAGCTGATAAACTGGGACATCTAAGTAGCCATCTCATTACAGAATTACAGCTCAATTCCATTTTAAATTAAGACTGCAATCAAAGAACTGCCCCCCTTTAGAAAATGTTATAGACCCTTTCAGAAGTGAACAGTAGCTCTGTGCTTGCAATTATTTTGATTTAAAACTTCAAATATCTTTATCCATCTTAAAGGTCACTCAGCTTTGCAGCAGGCCTCTTGATCTCATCTACCAAAATAGCTATTCATTGCATCACTTACTCCTAATCACTTTTTGGTGGAAAGAGTCAAATATATCAAACAGGTTGATGTAAATCATCCTCATAAGAATTTCTTAATTTTCCAATTAACTAGCAGCATAGTCCCTGCTCTGGATACTCATCTCAGCCACGTAATCCCACCATGGATTTCCCTATAGCTCCTGCCTCCTCTTCACATATTTCATGAGATTATAACAATCCAATCAGAAAAATGAGCTGACTACACAGATGGATTTTTAAGATCAAACCAAGTATGAAGTACAATTTTGCTTCAATGTAAGTATGAGACTGGTGATGGATCAGACACTGCAGCACCTAAAAGCAGAGAGTTTGAATTTAACAGAGATTTTTCAACAGAAAGTATACCGCAATTCCCGCGATGCTATAAAGTTGTAAGAGATTTTTCACCAAGTTAATACTGTTCATGCTAGACAGAAGACAAATTTAACTTCACACTCTAGCTGTAATCGAGGACCAAAAAAGCTGTTGCAGTAACAGAAAATGAGTAAATCAAAACTTCAGTATTCCCTGCAACATTAAAGGTCAGGTTTAGGACCAAAGCGATGTTTCTGCATCCCCTAGGCAGCTCCTACCTCTGTAAAAATGACTTGGTAATTAAAAAAAAAAAAAAAAAAAGTATGCCTAGAACATAAATATTTGGCTGTGCCTAAGACAACATTCAGACTACGAACACGCACTGGAACTTCTGATGGGACAACACAGCTCATTTACTACCACAGGTGCTCTTACATCAAGGGAATTCCCCTAATGACATCCAATAATTCTCCAGTATCTTTTGAGCCTGCAGAAAGAAATTGCAGTGTAAAACCCTACCAAAGCCCTTAAGTAGTACACATGCTTTGTGTTTATCTTTTGTACAGTTTTCCTTCAAATTACTTACCAAAATCTTACTTAAACACCTAAGTAGGTAATACAAAATCTCATTGCTTTTCTCCTTGAGCATCTGTGCAATTTTGATCTCCAAATTAAATGAATTTATTATTTCCAAACACAGGCTTATATTCATCCCTACTATACAGATGTCTCTGTTTAGTTGTAAATCTTATTATTTTGGGTAAGTCAGAACCCAAGCTATGTGGTCGCTGTTCTTTGCAACAACATATATCAAGTCGTGCACTGAAATCCTGCTTCGGTTTGTAAAGCCAACTGTTTTCCATTCCGTTCTAACATATGCAGAAGTTTGTTCTTGGGGAACCAGAGTCTACAAAGTAAACTTTGTTGTAACCTATATATAAGTAAAGATACTTGAGAAATTTGCATTTCAATGTTGACTATAACTGAAGACTAGAATACACACAATGGTCTGGCTTTTCCTTTCCTTAAGTGCACTCTTGAAAATTAAAAGGAAACAGATTAACAAAACTCAAAAGCTCTTGATATGTACTTTCAATTTCTAAACACTGTGAATTAAGGCTTCATACCTGAAAAGAACTTAATACAGATAGCCTACCTGATGGCTGCCATAACCAAAGGGAGTACTTGATAAATTGGTGGTAACACTGTGTAGGATAATTTCACCACTCAAAGATCCAGAGGCAATGTAACTGTCATTCCAGTTATATGTAATACACGTGACTTCACGTTTATGATCCTGTGGGGGAGCAAGGTTAGAAGGAGATGGTTAAAGACATTCAGGATAACCTTATTTCTTCCTAATCTGTGCTTTTGCAGAAAAACTTTTTTCTGATAATCTGTAACATTTAAAAAGATTAAGAGTTATTATGGAATATCCCAGGAAACAGCAGCAGAGCGTACTGAAGATCAACCATTACATTTTAACCACTGTTTGTTTTCAGAAGATTGTTTTAATATATCAGTAAAGATGATGCTGTAATTATATATGATACTTCAATAGGACAACCACAAAGATATCTATGACATGTCATTAATGTTATTATAAAAGTAAATTCTTCCAGAAACCAGCGATATCTGAATAAATTTTCTGTTAATCTGGTGTACTACTGCCAGCTTTCCCTTCCATCACTTTTTAGTATTAACACACATATTTTCAAGGCTAGGCTGGACAAAGCCTGTGGTGAGATGGTTTAGTGTGAGGTGTCCCTGCCCATGGCAGGGGGGGTGGAACTAGATGATCTTAAGGTCCTTTCCAACCCTAACGATTCTATGATTCCGTATTTACCAAAAAGTTTTTCAATACAGTCATTTGCAATGATGACACCGTGTTTACTGAATACACAGGGGAAGACAATCAAGTACTTTTAGCCCAAAAAGGAGAAGGAGATTTTTAAACTATTGTATTAGCTAGTTAGTAGCTTTGTTTCAAACTGTAACTTTAAAAGTCTGGGGAAAAAAAAAAAAACAAAAAAAAACAAGAAGAAGAAATCAAAGCTAAAGTATTATAGCCTCTTTTAACAGGGAGAGCAAATCATCTACTGAAGGCATCATGGAAATATACTAGACCTTCCCAAGTTGGGCATCATAACAAGGTTTTAAAGAATTCATACTGGACCAGTTAGAAGTTGACAACCATGTCCCAGTTTTGCATAACATTAGTTCTACTACTGTATTCTACCAATACAAAAGTGTTGTCTGGTTTGATATACCAGAAACAGCAATTACCTGAAATGCTGCCCTTGGAAAAGATCCCCATCAGAGAATATCAACACAAAACTCCAAAAATAAAAAGCCGATTCTTAAAATTGTTAAATTAAGCTTAGTATTTACAGCACATAAAGAACTTAAACAGGAGAGATGTAGGTTAGATATAAGGAAGAAATTCTTTATTGTGAGAGTGGTGAGGCACTGAAACAGGGTGCCCAGAGAAGCTGTGGCTATCCCTTCCTTGGCAGTGTTCAAGGCCAGGTTAGATGGGGCTTACAGCAACCTGGTCTAGTGGAAGGTGTTCCTGTCCTTGGCAGGGGGCTTGGAATTAGATGATCTTTAAGGTCCCTCCCAACCCAAACCATTCTGTGATTCTCTAAGAACACAAAATTGAACAAGACATTTAATGGGTGCTTGCTCTCATCTATGAACTTGATCTCCCAGATACATGACTTAGAGAAAGCATATGTTTTACAGCTGGCAGGAAAACCTGAAGTTATGAAAGCTACAGTGCTTCCTCAGCCAAACTTACCTTAAGGCTACGGTAAACCTTTCTGGATTTCAGATCCCAGATATTAACTGTGTTATCAAGGCCTCCACTTACAATATATGAAGAACTAGTATTTAAGCTTACACATGTCTGGCTTGCCTGACAGAGAAGGAAAAAAAAAAAAAAAGTATGTTAAGGATAATTAAGGGGTTTATCAAGTGATTTGCACAGTGATTTGTGTTTTCTTCTTCATTAACACAAATAGTCCCACTGACCAACAGTGCTACTGGTACACTACAGCCATTTCCCATCAAAAAGCATTTAAAATGCAGTCCAGTTTGGACATAAGTTTAATATACTTTAAGATCTAAATAAATTAATTCGTAAACTCTTACTTTCCTGTTTCAATTTTTTAGCACCTTTTCCATCAATATTCATTTTCCCTTTAAATTACAGCCCCCTAAAGTGCAATCATAAGGCTTCCACTCCAATAGTGTCTTTAAAAAGAAAATGCTAAGTTCAAAAAAAAAAAATGCCTCCTTAAAAGAAAATCAAAACGTTGTCTAAGTCATGTACTTCACATTCCCTAAACATTACAAAGAATATTATAGCAGCAAACCTCATAATTTGATAAAGCGATTCTTTTTAAAATAGCTGAAGTACCAGCTTTCGGAAAAAATGTCAATCTTAATGATAGACCTAGATAGAGGACAAATTATTATGCAGTTCTATCATGTTGAAAATTCACTTTTAAGTTCCTGAGATTTGAACAAAGAAAACACAAGTCCATCTAATTATTGACATGGAAAAATTGGAAATGATTCCATTAGTAACAGATCAGATTTAACGAAATCTCCTGGACAAACACTCCACTTGTGAAAGCCTATGCTTCAGCAGCCTTAAGGTCAGGTTTGAACATCTTTTCAGAAAGTTTCCAGTCCAAATTAGCATTAGAATAGCTATCCAAAGAGAATAATTAGAATGGTTTAGAGCACTATCAAGTCAATAAAGTAACCAGTCAAGATACTCTCCTAAAACTAAGTCCACCTTTCTGAAGAATTTTTAGTGCCACACTTCCATTTAACAGGGGGAAAAAAAAAACCACCGTAACAGAATTTCATGTATTTTCAAAAGCTGGCACATGTACACCCTTAGAACAACCTTTGCATAGACTCATGTTTTTCAATGTACAATTCACAGGCATACGTAATACTGACAATTCAAGTTGGAAAATGCAGTTCAAACTTGAGCTCTGCAGTCACCTACACATTAGATCAAGTTTGGACCACTGGCTGTCTTGTGCTATCACACTGGAGCTCAGAAGGCCAATTCCCCTAACATAAAGCTATACAAGCATCACATGCTATTGTAGAACCACTACTCTCCCCTGTTCGTATGTATTTGACTATACACAAGGAGATGTTTTTACATGTGTCATAACTCTAACAATACTAAAATTAAATTGATCCCAACAGTCAGATGCAATACAAACAGAACAAAAGGTGGAGTGGGGAATAAAAAAACAGGGAACCGCATAACTCATACTTACTCCTTCGGCTATTTCAAAGAGTGGAACAGGTTTGCTTTTACAGCTTGAAACAACTATTTTATCACCAGCAGCAGAAGCAGTGGCCAGGTATCTATCTTAGTCACAAGTTAAGGACCATAATTGTGTTATACTGGTGATTAATATAAGCAACAGCAAGTTTCCCTTACTAAACAGAAGACAGATTGGTTAAACAGTCTAGGTACTGTACCTTGAAGGGACCTAGAAATAAGAAACATAAGGCTATTTTCCAAGCTTTCATTAAGAAGCTCTTGCATTAACTACAGCCCTTACTTCCCAGTATAAGGCAGAGCAATTTCTTTCAGAGAGAAGAGAAATATTTGACAGACATTATTTAGGAGCTCTTAACCACTAAGACAGCTTAATCAGCCTACATTTTTGTTTCCCTACCACCCCCAAGTAAGAGTCCCATTTATCACTAGAGTCCAGAGGAATGTCTAGCAGAGTATGGATTTAAGGAACAGCCCTGTTTGTGACAAACCATATAGTTTCTAAACTACAATGCATGTTTGTTAATTTGTCTCCCCCTGTACTGAGGGAAGAAAAACAAAACCCCCAAAAGAACCTTTTACAATACCAAGCACCTCAAAGTAGTAAGAAAAGCCTTCAACTGCAGAGCATGGAATCTGCCCCGAACCCACACCAAACAAATCAAGTAATCATTTAGATCTGTTCCCTGTATGCCTCCAGGCCAATGCCCATAGTGATTTGATATTTGCTTATTTAAGAACATGCAGGTTAATTAGCTGGATTTAACACCAAAGAACTGGCAGGCAGATCAGTGCTTCCTATTGCTTTCAGCATTTTAAGGCACCGTTTTAGCTTACAGAATTTTACAGAACCAAAATCAGTGCTTTACCCCTAACAAATTAACAAACATTCAAAAGCATACAGAGTAAGAAACTTCAGTTTTAGGGGATGGAGGGGAGACTAGGCAGAAAAAAGGATAAGAAGACAGTCTATAGCTAAAATTTATTAAACACGTATAAGTATATATAAAAGCATTGCCTCTATGCTTCAATTTCTCTGCAAGCTCCATAGCCAAAACATTCATTTGAGCTCTGATTGTTCTAACTTTTTTCCTTATCCATCCATTTACTTGCAGACTTAAGAGGATAGATATTCATAACTTGCAGGACTTAACTGTTTATGTGCCAGCATCCTGCCTTCCTTTTACATCAAGATCAGGCATCACCACCTTTTCCCATGACAGCCATACAAGCTGTTCAGCTGACAGTACACCATTTGCATTACTCATATATTCACCTGGCACCCATCATCATCCTGTAATAGGCCTCCAAGGCTGAGGTGAAAGGTCTGAATGGACCAGATCCATTCTCAGCATAAATAACTACCATTCTATGAATGTTTTCCTTCACATCATGTTTGGGCTTCCTCTGTAAATGCTACAAACAGCACAAAGAAAACCAGTGCCTACAGAGTAAATGGTAAGTATATGCTATCAAAGCCTATCAGAATCAATGAGAAGCTGTTCAAGAACAAACAAACAAACAGAATCTTTCATTACAATTTTCCTCTCTACACTATAAATAGAATTTTATTACACTATTAATTGCTTTGTTCAACCTGGTCAGTAAATTAAGCACTGTGTTGAAAGTGAATATTGTAATCAGCTATTGAAGAAACAAATGAGTAAGCTTTACAGTTGTTAGGCAATTCAAGCATATCATAATCATTAAAAAAGTGTTAGCCTCCTAAAGGAAGAGAAACTTCTTCAGAAGCATTTACCAGCATGAGCTGATTTTGTACATCACTTCAACACAGAGAGCCACAAAATTTTCTTGACAATATACACAAATCTTTTCATACAAGACTTCAAAACTGCATCAGGCCTGTGATTCGCAGACACATTAACAAATGTAATAAATAAATAAATTACTGAGATTTTGCAGAACACCCACAAAACTACGGTTCAAACTGTAAAGGATACTATTGCTGGCCCAACACAGCGAGCTGACTGGATGTGTGGGGGTATGTGGGTTGAACTGCTCCACCACAGTTAGAGATAAGGAATCCCAAATTTTAATGTCATCTCCTGATGAAGCAAAACGTATGCTTTCTTGCATGGCTGCACCTGGTTTTGCAAAAATAAATTAAAAAATTAAATGCACATGTATATAAAGTAAAATATGCAACAAGCAACTTTAGAAGTCAAAAATATTTTAATCTATACCATCTAATGCTATTTTCTTGATAACACGGGCATTTATTTGGAATTACATTATTACTACAATTCAGCTGAGTATACTGCTGAAAGCAGCAGACACTACACACTCTTGTTACTTGAATTCTTGAAAAAAAAGTATGCTTTCTTTTTCACAAAGGGAAAGCCATTCCCTCCGGGGCATCACCAAGAGACTCGAATGATGCTATATCTCCGCAGTTTACAGCTGTCAGTCACGAAGCCGTGAGTAGTTCGAAGCCTCATCTTCCACCAGTAGATGGAGATATACAAGCTAGAATCAAACCGGCTGTTGTAGGGGAAGGCTGCAAGTTTGGACCTAAACGACTCACTGCGGCGTTCGTCTCACCACACTGTGAAGGAGGCATTCGAGAACCCTTTAAACTAAACTTTTAACAGTAGAATACCAGCCACAACAATCACATTTCAACGCATCTTACACAACGTTATAGAACAAATAGATCATCAACAATGTACGACTGTTTAGACTGACACCATTTTCAGAGTTAAGAAGCCAGGTTAGCAGATTCCAGGTCTGTAAAGTTTATGCTCAGCTTCTTACTCTGAGTAATTTTAAACTAGCAACAAACAAGAACTAAAAGATAAGACTCTCCTTCACTTGAGAGCATTACTGCCTTTCAGCCTAAAGTTCCAGGGACGTTTCTACATAGCTTTAGGCCACTAATTCTCACTGCCGAGAATGGCACACAACACTGACAACGCTACCGAGGCAAATCTAGCGCCCACAACCGCCCGCGCTCGGCCGTTGCTCAAGACATCAGCCGCGGAGCTACGCTCCGCTCCCTCGCTGCTCCTCCAGCCTCGCATGAGGCTTCTCTCCCTGCTCAGCACTTTCAGCCCCGGAGGCCGCGGGAGAGCCGCTCGGCACCGACACCGCCCGGCCCCGGCCCTGCTCCTGCCAAGGCGGGCCCCACGGCGGGCCTCCCTCCGTTCTGCGCTCTCCCCGCGGCGCGTCGGGACGCCCATCATCCCCCGCCACTGCTGCCCACCTGGCAGGACGGACACCAAGCCCAACCCGTGCCCCTTCCTTCCCTTCCCGTCGCCTTTTCAGATGCAGGGATCGGGATCGGGCCCGGCACCAGGCGCCTGGGACCCCGATTGGCTCAGGGCCTCTTGCTCCCAGTTCCCTACGGAGTCCGGACACTCCCGGCCAATGAGCGCCCTCCCTCGCGGCCGACTTTCCGCGCCGGATCCAACTTCACAGCCCGACCCAACAGCCCCCGCGCGCCTCCGCGTCCCCCGGCGGCTACGGTGGCCGGGAGGGGAAAAGTAGCAGGCGGGCGGCGGCGGCGGCCTTTCTCGCTTGTTGGGACGTGCCCTGAGGCCATGCATGGCCGCGCCCGGGCAAGGACCTGGCGGGGGTCTGGCCTTGCCGAGCGGGCCTGCCGGAGGCACGGCCTGAGCCTGGGTGCCTGGATGGGGTGCCGGGTTTCCCGGCTTGGGCTTCTGGGGAGACGGGCACTGGCACCGAGCTCCCCCCCCCCCCCGGAAACTGCTGGGGAAGCGTGGAGCCGGGCACATGTTGGGCGACGAATCCATTCTGGTCTCCGCTATAGGACAGGTTTGAGTGGCACCGAGTGTGGTACCGGCCACGTCTTAAATCGTCACCTTGGAGGCAGGGGTGTGTGTTCAGTACTGAGTAAAAAGCATCCAGCACAGCCCACCCGGTCCTTATTCTTCACTGGGACATCTTGGTGGCACATCATATTAATTTATTAATTAAAATAGTATTATTAAATATTAGTTATATACGATATCAGTTATACCTATTGTAATTAATGCATTCCAAACAGAAGTTTCTGCTCTGAACCTGTCAGCTCAAGTCCATGGAATGGTTTGGGTTGGCAAGGACCTTAAGATCATCTAGTTCCAACCCCCCTGCCATGGGCAGGGACACCTCACACTAAACCATGTCACCCAAGGCTCTGTCCAACCTGGCTTTGAACACCACCAGGGATGGAGCATTCACAGCTTCCTTGGGCAACCCATTCCAGTGCCTCATCACCCTTACAGTAAAGAACTTCCTCCTTATATCCGATCTAAACTTCCCTGTTTAAGTTTGAACCCATTTTTAAGTACAGCATACTAACACACCTGTTTGTCACATACCCCGCTGCGCCCTTTGTGTTTACTTGCAGTAACAGCAAGTAACTGAAAATTGCAACATCTGTATCTTGACTTGGAATACAGCTGTTACTCTGGTCATGCGGAACTTTATAGAAGGAGTGGTTTTATTATTTTCATCTGGTAAAATAAAAGCACTTCCTCAAAGCTAATATGTATTTTCACTGCTTCTGCTTCCTAAAGCTAAGTAGAAAATTATTCCGTAGAAGATTGTCTTTAAAGGAATATTAGACATGAAATCTGTAGCAAAACTGTTTCTACAGAGATCTGGTTTCAAATAAGTCTTCACCTTGTGTACCCTCAGAATTGGTAGATCCGAGATACCCCTTTCACTTTCCTTTGCCAATGAAGTTTTGATTTCCCAAGTTCATTTAATTTCTAGTCTGTGTAAGTGAACTCAGAATCAGGGAAAAAAAAAAACTTCTTGTCATTCTTATACAAAATACCATTAGTATTTCCCTACAGCAAGGAGGTGCACATACTTATTGCATCTATTAATCCTTATTAACCAATCATTAGTCATTTTTAGATCATCTATTATTTGTTGTCTGAGTCTTAAGGGATCTACAGCATTCCTGAAAGTCTTGTACCCCCACTCCACTTTACTCGCCTGATTTGACTTTAAACCAAACGTTTTACTTCTAAGGCCAATACTCATTATTCTGTTCTATGTTCAGTACACTGAATGTAAAGCTTTTACTTTTCTGTAACATTATCCTCTAGCTTTTTTTCTTCTCACTGTGGAGTGTAGCTGTGTTTACAGGCAGGTAGATGAGTACCTGTCTTCCAAGCCCTGAAACCTTGAAGTTGAACAATTAATGATTTTCAGGTTTTTAAGTAAACATAACCAGCATTTTTTTTGCTTATTCTTTACCTCCTCAATTAAACCTAGGACTTCTGTTGCCATTTTTTATGCCAGTGACTGCAGTATTTCTTGTTGGTATTTATAAGAAATCACTGGAATACCTTGGTGTATCATCTTCGGGGAAGGCACCACAGCAAGAAGCCCAGTTCCTAAAGCAGAGTTGGTGCTGTTGTGGTGAAGGGTGAAGGCCGCCTGCGCAAGCCAGGGCATTCCAAGCAATTCCGCAAGGCTGTAATCGACAAAGTTCCCTGTGCTGACCTCCCCAGGCCTCGGCAAGGAGACACATGACTGCCAGGAAGCAAGGAGCTTTCCCTAGAACACTGCTGGGTTTTGGTGGCTGCTGAAACATTCTTTTCAATTCTGGATGTCTGGCCAGGAGCTAAACCCGCCCTGAGGGTGCACGACTCTTCACAAAGCTTCACCCTCCTTACAGCTGTCCTGAGCACAACTAGGAGAGACTACAGAGCCAGGCCCATCACCTTGCAATGACTTCTCATGTAGCATATGCTGGTTTTCCACTGTGTGACACTGAGATTTTTGTACTTTTTTTCCTTTGCACATTAAGTAGAATCCTAAATCATGTTGACATGGGAGACAAATGAGAATAATTCTAATTATCTCTGGGGTTTCAAAGTGGAAAATTAAATTGCAGTGGTAAATATTTGACTTCAGCACTTGCCTCTGGACCCTTTCACCCACTCTATTTTAAAGATTAACCCATGCTTCATATTTTGACTTCTCTCACTTGATGATGTACTTGGTATCTTTAACTCAAAGAAAATCTTTGGCAAACATAAATGGATCTCTTTGCTGGCTTAATTAGTTCAGCATATTAGCCTGTAATTCCAACAATTAATTCTAGTTCCATCATTATTCTTTTTAAAGATCTTTCTTCTTGGATTTCAGTGCAAATGGATTTGGAAACAAATGACTATCCCTTTTACATTCTGTCTCAATTGAATAACAACTTTCACAATAATTCCCTGCATCTTTCATTCAAGGATCTGAAAATATTTTCTAAATGTTGATGCAGAAAACTTCAAATACCTCACTGATGAGGGGATTACTGCTATCTTCAGATAAAGAAACTGAGGCATAGTGAGGCTAATTAGGAGGATTATTTTGTTAGATTGATGTCATCCAAAAACTGGATAAATAGTTAGGCAAACAGCAAATGAGCATGAATTGGAGCTGTAGTGGAATTTAAAACCCAGTAATATACAAAGGAATAAATCTGTGCAAAATTGCCAATTTCCACATCATAAAATTAATTTAACCAGCAATAATTTCAGTTTGCTACATATTTGTAGGCTTGAGACAAGTACCATGAGTGTCTTGAATATACAACTCTCTACCAAGGCAGCAATATAACTTAAAACCATATTGAAATAGTATTCGAAAAATGAAGTATTCTAAACCCCATTCAGACCTGTCAGCATTAAACTCCCTGTTCCATTTCAGTTTGAGCCTTAGCACATTCTCGATGATGCAGTTATTACTTACAGGACCAGAAGCCTTTTTTTGTTCTCAGGATGCTTACTTCATTCAGTTCACAGAACAGACAAAGCCAAAGAAATTTAAAAAAAAACCAAACCAACCACCTCTTTTTACTGTTTTTTAGTTCCCTGTAGGATCTTTCTCATCCCTCACCCAGGGGATGCACTGAAGATAAAATATCATTCATTTCAGAATCCTTTCAGTTTGTCTCCACAGTGCTGCTTCTCTCTCTCTATTTCCTTTCCCCATCCCACAGTTTATCAGATACCCATTCCTTTCACAGATGTGGAATAGAGAAATATTTCAGTTAAAATTTGAAAAGACTTGGTAAACATGCCAGTGGTTCAAAGCTGTCGAGGAGGCATGTAGCCCTTCGGTGGTGGTGTACAGGGCAGATCACTGAGCAGACCTTCATGTACATTTCAGACTGAAATCCAGAAAGGTGCCTTTCCCCTCTTCCTTTTTA